TAGGAATAATGCTTTGTGAATGCCCCTTCAGTACATAAAATGTAAATTGCCACCTGGCTGCCTACTATAGTGCCTTTTGGATACCCTTGTAGTGTGTAAGGTATAAGAAAGTGTCCTCTGGATGCCTCTCCAGTTGATTTATCAGAAAAATAGTGCTTTCCCAATCGGAATATGATACAAGATTCCCTTCCACTGGATTAGAAAAAAGTGCCTTTGGATGCCCTTTTATGGGCTTCACCAAAGAAGGTTCTTATCACTGCCTTTCAAGTATATATATTAAAAAATAAACCCTAACCCTGGACATTCTATTTATCAGCATATAAAATGTACAAAAGTTGCCTTTCAAGTAGATAAATTGTAAAAATGTGTTTTCTGGATGTTCTTGTGGTATAAAAATGTGGAAAGGGTGCCATGCGAGGATATGTGAGGATTATGTTCTTCGACTTTTCTAGTGCACTCAACACCATCCAACCCACCATTCTCAAAGACAAGCTCACAAAGATTGAAGTGGATCCTTCCTGTGTTTCCTGGATCGCAGATTGCCTGAATCGAAGGTCACAGTTTGTCAGGCTGGGAAATTGTGTTTCTGGGACATTAATGAACAGTACAGGGGCTCCACAAGGGACAGTGCTGGCGCCATTCTTGTTCACACTCAGACTTCAAATACAGCACAGAGTCCTGCCACATCCAGAAATTCTCAGATGACACTGTTATCATGGCATTTATCAGAAATGAACAAGAAGCTGAATACAGAGATCTGATAAGAGCCTTCAGTGACTGGAGTCACAAAAACTGCCTCCTCCTCAACACCTCAAAGACAAAGGAGATGGTCATAGACTTCCGTAGATCCAAACCCCCTCTTCAGCCAGTGAACACCTGTGGAGTGAACATCGAATTGGTGACATCATATAAATACCTAGGTGTACATCTGGATAATAAGTTGGACTGGTCTAAGAATATAGACTTCTTTTACAGAAAGTTTCAGAGCTGCCTCATCAGAGCTGACTCCGATCAATAGACATCTGTAGTAAGATGCAGCAGATGTTTTATCAGTCTGTGGTGTCTACAGTGTTCTGTTCTATGCTGCAGTCTGCTGGGGAGGAAGCATCAAACACAAATTTGCAAGACGTCTGAATAAACTGGTGAAAAAGGCTGGCTCTGTGGTAGGACTCAAGCTGGACTCAGTGGAGGATGTGGTGGAGAGATCTACACTGAGGAAGGTGGAGTCTGTTCTAAAGAACGTGGATCACCCATTTCACAACACCTTAATGGACCAAAGGGCCAATGGTGGTGGACGGCTCCTCTCTCTTCGCTGCAGGACAGAAAGATTCAGAAAATCTTTTGTACCCACAGCCATCAGACTTTATAACTCTTGTATAAATAGTATATAACTTTTAGAGATATATCAAGTGAGACAACAGATAATTGAATTTCCCTTCAGGGATTAATGAAGTTCTTATTCTTATTCTTACTTGGATCCAATTCCAGCATATGTAACATTGCAAAAGTACCTTGTGTATGCTTTTTCAGTGAAGTTACAGCTCCTGTGAGGAACTTCATGTTTGTGTTAAAGTTGGCGCCCTCGGTGGACAAATCAGTCTTCGCTTATCTTGTCCTTTACAAGCTTAAGCAGTGTTTCTGGACAAAGAATCTCATGATGATGACTCTTAACAGCCAAATTTATTATTTATAAGGAATATTTTATGTGGAAATTGTAAAATAAGCACTGTTTCTACAGCCTCTTTGCTGACCCCCCACCCCTTGCACTTTCAGGCATGACAATTTTATGTAAAAATTTCCAAGTTAGAATTGAATTCATATTCACGCTTTTTGATGACATATAAAAAAGACAGATCATTAGTGATATATACTATATATACTAAAGCCTGGAATGTGTGAAGTGACATGCAATGTTTGAGACCAAAGCTTGAAATGCAAAGTTGTTTTTTTCTGAGTAATAAATAGATTCATCAAATTTGGATTTTACTTCTTAGTTTTAGAATGACCATGTGACAGAACAACAGATCAACTCTTACAAGAATGTGAGCCTAGTGCAGGGAGTAGCTTTATTTTATGATTGTGTGAGTGGCCTCACCTACAGCCCCCTGCTGCCCCCTGCTGCATGTCATTTGCACTCACTCCCACCAGCATTTCCTGGCTCTTTGGCTATTTTTATCTAGTGAAGGGAAAGCAGCAAAAAATAAAAAATGTAAAAAAAATTAATAAAAAAAAAAAAAAACTGAAAAAGTAAAAAAAAATTCAAGAAATTGGAATTATGAGATTAAAAATGACAATCCACTCATAATTTCAAGTATTTATCTCAAAAAAGGACACTCTCATTATCACTTCCTCTCTTATAATTTTGACTAAAATTTCAATGATAATGATTTTGAATCTTATAATAATTATGTATTTTTATCAAGACTTTTTGTCTCACAAATATGGTACACAATTTTGACTTTTTATTTAATTTATGAATATATACATTTCTGAAATTCCTTTTTCAGAATTTTGATTTTTTTTAATCTCTTATTTCATGTAGAATGGTGGAGATGGGCTTTCATGTGACAAGCACCTTTTATTGGTCCAAGTGCCCCACATATGGAGCAATAGTCCTTGCTGCTATTACTGGTTTGATTCCCAGCTGTGGCCCTATGAATTTTCCACATTTTCTGTCTCTCTTTATCTGTCCCGCCTAATTAAAATAAAACATTTCCATAAATATGACTGAAAGAAACTGAAGAATTCATATATATCAGATTTTAGCACTGCTCCTTTATTTGATAGTTGTAATTAAAGCCAGTTGAGGAACATTTTCCAGTACAAATTAGGTCCTCCACAAGTCTCTATTGAATTTTAGCTGTTATAGATAGATAGATAGATAGATAGATAGATAGATAGATAGATAGATAGATAGATAGATAGATAGATAGATAGACTTCATTGATCCCAAACTGGGAAAATTTCATGTTACAACAGCAAAAAAATACAAAATTAAATTAAATGTAAGAATGATGCATAGATCTGTTTTTCATTGCTTGAATCATGGATATCATGTTAAAACAATCACACCTTTGAAAACCAAGGACAGCACAGACTGAATGGAAGTCTTAAGACTGTTCTCACCCTGGTAGTACAAACAGATATATATACAGTTGAGGCCAACATTATTAGCCCCCCTATGAAATTTTTTTTCCAAAATTTCCAAAGTGCTGTTCAACAGATTAATCATTTTTTTACACAGCTTTTCCAAACATCCTAGTTTTATTTTAGATCCTTACATTATTTTACTTTGCACACAGAAACAAAATTATTCACAAAAACCACAAACTACCAGGGTCAAAAATATTAGCCCCCTTAAGAATTTATGTTTTTATTGAGCCAAAACAAAAACCACTGTTGTGCAATCATGTGCTTTCACTTTCGAGCTCACAACTCTAATCAATCAATCAATTAAGTGAAAACAAAGGGTTGTCCTACACTTAACACTGTATAAAAACCTTGTTAAGTGTTTGAGCTGTCACTTGAGAAGGCATCATGGCAAATACAAAAGAATTCAGTTTAGTCTTGAGAAAAAGAATTGTTGATGCTCACAAAGCAGGAGAAGGATATAAAAATGTATCATAGCGTTTCCAAGTATCAAGAAGTGGAGTGAGAAGTATCATCAAGATATTCAAGGAGACCCTCACAGCACAGAACAAGTCTGGGAGAGGTAAGAAGCAAAAAATGTCAAAGAAACTGGAAAGAAAACTGGTGGTGGTGGTGGTGGTGGTGGTGGGGGGGGGGGGGGGGGGGGGGGTCTAAACAACCTAGAACAACCACCAAAACAGAAGTTGGTGACTTAGCCAAGTCAGGAATTGTGGTGTCAAACAAGACAGTCTCTAGAGCCCTAAACAGAAATGGACTGCGAGGATGCAGGCCAAGTAAAAACTCCACTTCTACAAAAAAGACAGCTTCAAATCAGACTGAGGTATGCTAAAGACAATCTGGAGAAAGATTGTTCAAACTGGAGACGTGTTCTTTGGTCAGATAAGACCAAACTAGAGCTTTTTAGTCACAGAGACATTGCTTATGTTTGGAGAAAGAAGGGAGAGGCGTATAACCTCAAGAACACTGTCCCACAGTTAAACACGGTGGTCGGAGCATCATGCTGTGGGGATGTTTCAGTGTATCTGGAACTGGGAATCTTGTCAAAGTTGAAGGAATAATGAAGAAAGAAGGATATGTGAAGATGTTGAAAGAAAACCTCAAGGAGTCAGCAGCAAAACTGGGTCTGGGTTGTCACTTTGTCTTCCAACGTAACATTGACACAAAACATACAGCACTCCTGGGGCCTCATGTATCAACGCTGGCGGCGCCAGAAAACCTTGCATCCGCCAAGATAGGGGCACACGTCCAGATTTATCATCGCGACACGAGCGTCGGTTCCAGCGCTAATCAACGCAAAGTGAGGAGGTGGTGTAGAAATTGGCGTTGAGCCGATACTTGCGTTGACGGCACTTTGGCGACGCTGTGTGGGGGTGTTTGGTGACTCACTATGTGACAAGCGTGCACCACATCCCCGTGGCCGAGCAGCACGTCACCCCACATGACGAACCAGCAGCAGACGGAGGGATGCGAGCTGATCCCTGCCGGGCCGCCGTCCTCGCGCGGGAGAATCTCATCGCCACAGTGTGAATGGGTAAGTGAATACACAGTTCAATGAGCCAAATTAATTTTTTTTCGCCACCAGACGCTCGAGGACATTTACGGGCCGGTCCAGCCGCTCGTTGATCCCCGCGATCCCCCTGAGGATTTCTTCCTGCGATTGCAGGACCGCCTCCGTGAGGACCCTTCCACTGCGTCCGGGTGGTCCAGCGGAAGCGCCGCGGCTGGTGGACGCTCCACCGTTTGTCGGCGCGCTGGTGCTGATGCTGGTGCTGGTGCTGGTGCTGGGGCCGGGGGCCGGGATGGCCCGAATGCCGCTGGTCCTGGCCGACGACTCCGAGCCGGCGGACGGGCTGCCGCGGGCCGGGGTTCCGCAAGCCGGCGACACGGCCGACACATTGATTTCTGTGACACAATAAAAATATTGGTTCATTCCAATTCCTGCTTCTGTGTATCTGTTGTGTTTACATCTCTCTCCACGGTATCATAGGTAATGTAATCCAGTATTTAGAGGTCAGTTATGCACATTACAGTTGTTTATTGCATAAAAAGTTATCGAAAAATGAAGTTAAGGGCGAAGTATAAATCACGTCCAAAAATAGACTGAATCCCGACGTTGAAATGATGTATAAACTTAGACTAGACGTCTAATATACATCTTTTGCTCAGTGGGATGGCAAAGCATGCGGACATTTGTGTGACATGCCACTTACCCTATAATAATAATCGCCACCACCCGCTGCTCAAACGGCGTGAGGGTCTCCTCCCCCGGAGCCCCACCTGTCTGGCCGGTACTCCTCCGGAGGGCAGCTGTACGCCGCTTGACCTCCACCTTGAGGTCCGACCACTTTTTTTTAATCTCCGCGGGGCAGCGTGTCTCGGAACCAGTGGCGGCTGCTGGTCTTTCAAGGAGGGGAAGCTCATTTTTCTGGCCTACATCAAAATTGTATTTGTTTATTAGTATGTAACAGAACAGAGTCGCCAAACACAACGGCAGTCGTTTTTAACAAAGACAAAAGTCGCTGAGGATCGGTAAAGTCTCCGGAGCAGTTAAGAACAACGGAATGAATAACTTGGAAAATGCTCTGGTAGATGTTTTATTCTTCAAGATCGCTGATTCGCTTGTTTAGCTGTCAATCAAAAAAGGATTTCGCCTCAGACAGCTCATCCAATCATGGATGCAGAAGCTCGGAGTCCGGGAGAAAGTCAGGACCGCCCTCTCGCCATAGAACTCCAGTGAAGCTGGGCTTCCGATGGGCGGGACAAAGCCCAGCATTTATCCAATGAGCGTCTAGTTTCGCTGCTGGAACAACCCACTTTGAGCTTCCACATTGAAGTCAGCAGAAGCCCAGCGTCCGGCTGTTTAAAGCGCTGAGGCGCTGCGAGGATGAATGAGAGCGAAGTTATGCCGGTTACCTGTGATTATCAGCTTCATATCACAGTGTCTGAACAAAAGTTGAAGGCTTTCCAGCGCGTATTTAGTTAATGAAATGTACACACAGCAGTACGTATTTCACCACTTTTTCTTTTTTTGGGGGGGTGACAATTTAAGGGAAGCCGAGCTTCCCTTGCAGTCTTAGAGCAATCGCCACTGCTCGGAACCCACCGCGTTCACCCTCTCGCAAACTTTCTCCCACTCCAAGCGTTTTCGTTTTGCACTGACGCCACTGGACAGGCTGCCAAACAAAACATGCTGTCGCTCCTCCACCTCCGCCACCAGCACCGCCACCTCGCACACCGTAAATTTAGTTTTTCTTGTCATTTTGTCTGCGTGCGAGGACAGGGAGACCCTGTTTCAATAAATCTGCATATTTATAGGAGGGCGTAACGGGGGCGGGCCCGGTCACTCCGACATCTGCGCTGAATTCCAAGCTGATTGGGATTTATCAAGGAAACACACGTGGATTTCGGCGCCCGCACACCTTGATACATACGGATTTTTTTCAGCATGACGGACCTTGCGTGCGCTCGTTTCTAGTATGAGTCCCACGCAAGTGTTGATACATGAGGCCCCTGGTGAGGAGCTGCCTCCAGGAAACCAAAGTGAACGTTATTGACTGGCCTGCACAAAGCCCTGACTTAAATCCCATTGAAAATCTGTGGGCTGCACTGAAGACCAGGGTCCATGCTAGTAGACCATCAAATCTGGAGGAGCTTGAAAGATTTGCCAAAGAGGAATGGGCTGGGATTCCTCAGGAGATGTGCCAGAGCCTTGTTACAAACTACAGCAACTGACTGCATGCTGTTATCCAGCAAAAAGAACACACAATTGACTATCAGCCTCAGGGGGACTAATATTTTTGACCCTGGTAGTTTTTGGTTTTTGTGAAATAATTTTGTTTCTGTGTGCAAAGTAAAATAATGTAAGGATCCAAAATAAAACTAGGATGTTTGTGTGTGTGTGTGTGTGTGTGTGTGTGTGTGTGTGACAGACATCTGGCCTAATCACCTCACTGAAGGAAGGGATGGTGTTTTCAGGCTTGCAAGCTATCAAGCTCCCCCTTTTTTCCTCCAAGGAAAGGTGTGAGGAGCAGGACACTGACCTCCAGATAAAAACTGCATTCCTTTAGAGCAGTGGTTCTTAACCTTGTTTGAGGTACCGAACCCACCAGTTTCATATGCACTTTCACTGAACCCTTCTCGAATTTACATAATGAGTCAGGTGTGTCTTGACCTCCGTGGCAGAGGCTCCGCCGAACCCCTGAGACTGACTCACCGAACCCCTAGGGTTCGATGGAACCCTGGTTAAGAACCACTGCTTTAGAGAAAGAACACAAATGACAGATAATGACATCTTAGGCATTCATAAATGTACTAATCTGTTTAATCATGAAATTTATGTTAAAATGTCTCGGACACTCTGGCTCTCAGCACAGGATCTCCACAGGGCTGTGTACTTTCCCTTCTGCTCTTCTCCCTGTACAGCAACTGCTGCAACTGCAGCCAGGACTCCGTAAAGCTCATCAAGTTTGCGGATGACACCACCCTCATCAGACTCATTTCGGATGGAGATGAGTCTGCCTACAGGAAGGAGGTGGACCGGCTGGTGACCTGGTGCTGCAGCAACAACGTTGAGCTCAACGCTCAAAGGACAGTGGAGATGATCATGGACTTCAGGAAAGCCACAGCCCCCCAGCCCTCCCTCGACCTTACCGACTCCCCCATTACCACTGTGGACTATTACCGCTTCCTCGGCACCACCATCACCCAGGACCTCAAGTGGGAGCCAACCACCAGCTCCCTCATCAAGAAGGCCAAGCAGAGGATGTACTTCCTGTGGCAGCTGAGGAAAGCCAAGCTGCCGGTCCAGCCGATGGTGCAGTTCTACACGGCCATCCTCAGCTCCTCCATCATGGTGTGGTACACCGGGGCCACTGCCAGGGACAGACACAGACTGCAGCACATTGTGGGCTCTGCTGAGAAGGTGATCGGCTGTAGCCTTCCATCTCTCCATGACCTGTACGTCTCCAGGACTCGGGGCCGAGCAGGTCGGATCATAGCTGACCCTTCTCACCCTGCACATGGACTATTTGAGACACTCCCCTTGGGCAGGAGGCTACGGTCCATTCGGACAAGAACCTCCAGCCATAAAAACAGTTTCTTCCCCATTAGGTGGTTATAATGTCATCGAATAATCTAAATATGAGTTTATAGAACCTATTATTAATCATGATGAGGTTTATTTACATGTGTTAACTCTTTTGTTGTTCACAGTTTCTGTATGTTACTATCTGTTTCATTTCAGAGTAATTTAGCAAGTTCAGTGTGATACTTAAAACAAAATGAGAATGTTTGATGTGATTCTACATTTCTTCATACGTGTTTAGTATCAAATCATTTATTATGAACCAAGCGTTCGATAGCATTAATCATAGTGTTGGGTCTAAAACCTGCCAAAATACCTGAAAACATATAAAGAAGAGAAAGACAATGGTATATACTCGAGGAGAATGGACAGAGATAGCATCAGGTACAATCTCGAAACCACTCTGAAGGTGGTTTCTGTCCCCCCTCTTTTATTTAGGGTTGTCCCTGGTTACACAATGTTTCTAAAGGGTGGGGGAAAAATATGTGCAGCAACGTAAGCACTCTCATAAAACAGAATAATGAACAACTGAGAATATGTGAGGGTCAAGGCGACATTGTTGCATCAAACGAGCTCCTTCTGATAGGAGCGGATCCTCCTCATTACTTCCCACGATTCACAGTGGAGGATACATCACACACACACACACACACACACACACACACACACACACACACACACACACACACACACACACACACACACACACACACACACACCTGCTGATAGGAGAAACAAGGTCACAGAGAAGTTAAGAAACATTCATGTGCTGTGTAATGAAGCTATTGGAGAGAGAAGTTAGAAAACACTCTTATATGATGTGTAACAAGAGGTCAAAACAGTCCATAATTGTAGTAAACCCTTACATAAGAATTTGAGTAAGATGATAACTTCTATATACATTTATACACATTATTCTGACACATTGTGAGTGAGTATCAGATCTGACTTCTTTACCAGCCAAAAGTACAAGTTAGATAAAATAATCAGAGATCCTGCAGGCCTCCTCCCAAGAGGCTACAGCAGGACACCAGCGACCCCTCCTCTCTCTCTCTCTCTCTCTCTTCACACACACACCCCAGAGACACTTCCAGTTTGAAGGAGATAAAACCAGTGAAGTTGGGGTGCTTAGTCTCTTCTGTGTTTTACTCTTGTTTCTTGGTCTTATCCTCCTTTTGGTTTTACTTTTCTCTTATTCTTTTGTTCCCTCTTCGCTTGTTTTCTCTTTGCTCTTACTCTTACTACTTTTTTTTTTCGCTAATTTTGCAAAATCATTTTTGATATAGTTTCCACTGGCCATCAAGCTTCTTTTTCTTCATTATCTGTGTTTTTTCAAAGTTGCCTCTGAACGCCACACACCAAGTCATTCTCTCTGTTTCATATGACAGGATACCTTATGCTCTCCTCTAACAATGTGGAAGAAGCTCATTTTAAAATATATAAAGTTCTTTTTTTTTTACTTTGGGTTGCGTGAAATAGTTAATTGGCGCTCATCTCAGCTCAGAATGTGCTCTTCTCTTCTCAGACCCCTGACCCCTGACCATGTAAAGGAAGAAAAACTAGTATTCCAGTTTTAAGCGCCCTCTGGCGGCAAAGATTATTGCAATGTGACAACTTACCCATGTGACAACAAGCCCCTGTCTCCCCTACTTTTGGCTGGTAAAAGAGTCAGATCTGATACTCACTCACTATGAATAATGTTATTGAATGCTTGGTTCACAATAAATGATTTGATACTAAACACATATGAATGAAATGTAGAATCACATCAGACATTCTGATTATGTTTTAAGTTTCACATTGAACATGCTAAATTACTCTGAAATGAAACAGATGGTAACACAGAAACTGTGAACAACAAATGAGTAAATGCATGTGAATGAACTTCATCATGATTAATAATGGATTCTAAATACTCACATTCAGATTATTCAATGACATTAAAAAACACCTCATGATTAAAAATACTATATGAATGATTCAAATATCAACCGAACATTTCTAAACTATTTCTGTTACCTAGAGTAAAATTATAATTAACAGTTAAAAAATTTAACCCGTAAAAGTTCATGAAACAGTCTGAAAAGCTGTTGGTCTAAAGAAACTAAAGGATATAGTGTAGTTGGAAGGAGGGGGTTCAGTGCACCCCCCGGAGATATATTTCTAATTAATGTTTTTCTATAGGAAAAAATGTTCTGAAAATGATGAGCTATGATAAAAAGTTCTCAGAATGTCCCATCTGCCCCCAAACCCCCCAAAACCCACTTTTTGGTACATGGCTCTAGCGAAATTGTGTTAAGGCAAATATTAATTCACTAAAATTACATAATTGGATATGAAAGTCTAAAATTTGGCATGGGGTATCCTGAGACATAGGGTTAAGTAGCCCAATAGGATTTTAGGACCTACTACAATTGTATTCATAATTATGACCAACATCATCCCCAGAAACACAAAAAAATATACTGTCCGCTTGACAAATAATAACAAAGATGATTGATTTCCAGCACTTTATGGTGAATATCACTGCATATGCACTTTTGTGTGCCTCAGGATTTGAACTCTTTTTTCCCTTAGCCTTAGGCATGTTGGCTTGATGTCTATAACCACCACTGTTAAGAGAAGTGAATAAGAAAAACCAATAGCTGATGTTATGGGTGCAACCATCTTATTTTACAGTCATGTTTGAAGCTACTACTTGTTTTAGCAGACTAAAGATAAGATAAAATAAGAAGGAAAAATATTTAAACTATATGTGATACCTATATTCAAGAAGGAAATATTACATAATGTGTACATTGTGTAGTCAAAGTCAGTCAATTTATTCCACATGTGTACAGTGGCTGATTTATGCTTCTTACCTTGTTTGTTGGGAGGATGATGTAGAAGCCAAGGTGTGGTGGTGGCAGAGTTTATACTGTCTGTATTGATATGCTCTGTAAGAGCCATTCACTGTGTAAGAGCGGTTCATTTATTCACCTGGTGAAGTACTCAATTGCGTCAGTGGGTGTCGCTGTCCTGTGGCACGACCACAGGTATTTAGGGAACATTGATTGATTTCACCTGTTGTTGGTTTGTTGATACCGGAAGGGCCAAACGGTTTTTGACCGACGCGGTGGCGGCTGTGAGTTATCCTGTATGAATTGAAGAAAGATTATGTATTCGCTGTTTGCAAAATAAATATGGATTATCGTGCATCCCAGTCGAAACTACCTTTTTTGAACAAAGCTTACGGTAAGCCATCGGCGTGTCAGCCAGGTGTCCCGGGAGTCAATCAAACCACGTCAGTTTGGTGTTAGATCAAGCTGCAGCATGCTCAATGCACAACTGCTGTGCAGTCATAGTTATCTCTATGCTCAATAAGTTTGACCTGGGTCATGGATAATGTTTACCAGTCACACCTGGCCTGAGTCAAATTAATAAAACATACATTGAAAGTACATTCAATTTCTTATGGCACTGCTTTACATGCAAGCATGTCACTGGAACATATGGTCATTTAACCTTGGCCCTCAAAACAGGTCCAGATACCTTATTTGTTCATTTGAATGCAACATTGGCTGAGATATAGGCAAAATCAGTGTTTCCAAAATGGCGGCACTAATTAGCATATAAATAATAGATTGGTCATGTTGACAACTATTAAACATAGCTCATCATTTTCAGCACATTTTTTCCAATAAGGAAATACTGATTAGAAATATATATGTATATATACATCTGGGGGTGCATAATACCTGTAATAGACAGCTACTGGCAGAATCTCCTATTTTCTCAGATTAGAGGTATAGTGCAGAACTTTGGCTACAGAAAGAGTAATTTTCAAGCCAGAAAGGTCATCTTGGGCTCAAATTGAAGCTTAGGGACATGGGAAGTTTATATATACAAATGAGGCAGTGATATTCACCGTAAAGTGCTGGAAATCAATCATCTTTGTTATTATTTGTCAAGCGGACAGTATATTTTTTTGTGTTTCTGGGGATGATGTTGGTCATAATTATGAATACAATTGTAGTAGGTCCTAAAATCCTATTGGGCTACTTAACCCTATGTCTCAGGACACCCCATGCCAAATTTTAGACTTTCATGTCCAATTATGTAATTTTAGTGAATTAATATTTGCCTTAACACAATTTCGCTAGAGCCATGTACCAAAAAGTGGGTTTTTGGGGGTTTGGGGGCAGATGGGACATTCTGAGCACTTTTGATCATAGCTCATCATTTTCAGAACATTTTTTCCTATAGAAAAACATTAATTAGAAATATATCTCCGGGGGGTGCACTGAACCTCCTCCTTCCAACTGGACTAAATAACTTTACTGATAGCTCATACTTGAACGTTAGTCCCTTGCAGCTTGATCAGTTTGTCGATGATACCTCAGGCACACTGTAATTCATGACTCAGTTGCTCCTCTTCGACAGAAAACTGTTAAACGCGAGAGGCTGGCTCCGTGGTATAATGCTGAAACTCGTGAGCTTGAACAGTTATGAAGGAATCTAGAAAGGATTTGGCACTCTTCCAAAACAGCTGAAGCTCCCATTCTCTGGCGGGACTGTCTTGATAAATATAGTGTAGTGTATTGACAAGATACCATAATAGGACACTGCCCACTTGTGGTTATATAGAGTTATGACGTTCAGTAACGTGTGTATGTTACGTGCTTTGTCTACATGAGATAAAGTCCCGCTCTCCACGCTCGGTCAAGTCTCCGTCTGAGTTATTTCCCCACAACAATATATTACAGTTTGGCGACGAGGATGGGATGCTAAAAGAAAGAAAAGCATCCCGGAAGACGAGAGACATGAAGTTATAACAGGCAGATCACAAGAAAGGAAGATTGTGGCACCAACGTGAGTGGCTAACAAATGAGCTAACAAGCTAACGTGCCTGCTACTGTTATTAACGGCGGACTGCAGCAATGGCTCTCATCGGCAACATGTCGGAATACCGAGAGGGTAAGGAAGATTTTGAATCTTACCTGGAGAGGATGGAACAGTGGATGGCAGCAAATGATGTGGACGATGAAAAGAAAGTCAGCGTTTTTCTGTCGCTAATTGGAGCGGAAGCCTACGGACTTTTGAAAAGTTTACTCCTGCCGGATAAGCCAAGCATGAAAAGTTATGCAGCGCTCACCAAAGCACTCAGTGACCATTACAAGCCCAAACCACTTGTCATTATGGAGAGGTTTCGATTTCAGAAGAGAAATCAACAAGAGAGTGAATCTGTAAGTGACTATATGGTAGCTCTGAAACACCTGTCAACAAACTGTGATTTTGGAGCTCACCTGGACGATGCTCTCCGTGATAGGTTTGTGAGTGGACTGAGATCAGAGGCAATACAGAGAAAATTGCTGGCAGAGAAAAATGTGACGTTTAAAAGTGCATGTGACACAGCACTGTCCATGGAGATGGCTTCACGCAACACTTTGGAATTCTCAGGAAAAATTAAAGAGAATGCAACAGTCAATAAAGTGTTCAACCAGAGTAAAAAAAGAGATGACAAAAGAAAATCAAGTGACACAAGCTACAGCAAGAGTACATCCTGGCACAAGAGCAGCGTGGATGACAAGCAGCAACAGCTACACCAGCCCTGCTACAGATGTGGAGGTAAACACCCACCTGCTGTGTGCAGATTTAAACAGGAAAAATGCCACCACTGCACAAAAGTGGGACACATTGCACGCATGTGCAGGAATAAAAAGACACCACAAAAGACTCATTATGTTGAACAGGAGGCTGAAACAAGCCCAGCGGATGAGGATAATGAACACTTGTTTGGACTGTACGTAGTATACACAACTTCAGATGGTAAAGATGGCTATGTGGTTGACATGGACATTGAAGGCCAGAACATTCAGATGCAGTTGGACACAGGAGCATGTGTGTCTCTTGTATCAGAGATCACTTACAAGACATCGCTCGCTCACTTGCCACTTAGCCCATGTAAAATACCGCTGTCTACTTTCTCTGGAGAACGCATCCCAGTGTTGGGGAAGGTGGAGGTGAATGTGGAATATGAACAACAAGCAGCCAAAGTACCACTGGTTATTGTGAAAGGCGACCGACCAGCACTACTGGGCAGAAATTGGCTCAAGAAATTTAAGCTGAACTGGAAGGAAATATTCCAAGTCAAAGTAGTAGGAGAAGCTATTGACCCAGAAGTGGCAGCAATCCTACAGAGGCACAAGGGAGTGTTTGAGGAAGGGCCTAGCACCATCCGTGAGTTCAAGGCTTCGATCAAGATGAGGCCAGGTGCGCAGCCAATATTTAGAAAAGCCAACCAAGTGCCATATGCTCTAAAAGAGGCTGTGGAAAAAGAACTCGACCGATTAGAGGCTATGGGAATCATATCAAAAACAGACAAAAGTGAATGGGCTGCACCCATAGTGACTGTGCCAAAGGCTGACAAATCAATCCGGATTTGTGGAAATTACAAAGTGAACATAAATCAGTGTGTGGAAGAGGAAACTTATCCTTTGCCCAATACAGAAGATCTTTTTGCAACATTGGCTGGAGGCAAGCTGTTCACTAAACTGGACTTATCACATGCCTATCAGCAGTTGGAGTTGGATAAGGACTCAGAGAAGTACCTTACAGTCAACACACATCGAGGACTGTACACTTACCACCGACTGTCATATGGAGTCTCAAGTGCCCCGTCCATCTTCCAAGCAGTGATGGACCAAATCCTACAGGGAATAGAGCATGTGACCTGTTTCCTGGACGACATCTTAATCACAGCTGGTTCGAGAGAGGAACATCTGCGCAAACTGGAGGAAGTGTTGAGTCGCCTGGCAAAGTATAATGTAAAGGTCAAGCAAGCAAAATGTAAGTTCATGGCAGACAGAGTGGAATATTTGGGACACATGGTTGACAGTGAGGGGCTTCACCCCACAGAAGAGAAGGTGAAATCTATTGTAAACGCACCAAGTCCCACAAATGTCACAGAGCTTCGTTCCTTCCTGGGACTACTGAACTATTATGGCAGGTTTATGCCAAATCTGTCCATGCAGCTTCAACCTTTGCATAACTTACTGAGACGTGAAAGTGTTTGGCAATGGACAGTAGAATGTGAGGCTGCGTTCAAAAGTGCAAAAGATCAACTACTGCAGAGCACCCTAGTAGTTCACTATGACACCAGAAAGCCACTGAAACTAGCCTGTGATGCTTCGCCTTATGGTGTCGGCGCTGTTATCTCTCATGTGATGGAGAATGGAGAAGAAAAGCCCATAGCATTTGCATCTCGCACATTGTCAGAGGCAGAAAGCAAATATGCTCAAATAGAGAAGGAAGCCCTCTCTATAATTTTTGGAGTGAAGAAGTTTCACAAATACCTGTATGGGAGGAAATTTACTCTCATTACTGACCATAAACCACTCTTGGCAATCCTTGGCCCAAAGTCAGCTATCCCCACACTAGCCGCTTTGAGAATGCAGCGCTGGGCGCTCATATTGATGGCTTATAACTATGACATAGAGTATCGCCGGTCTGCAGAGCATGCAAATGCAGACGCGCTCTCCCGGTTGCCAAGTAAAGTCAGAGACAGCACTGCTGAGGAAGGAAAGATCTTCTATTTCTCTTTGATGGAGGATTTACCTGTGAAAGCCAGCGACATCGCACAGAGCACAAACAAAGATCCGGTGCTTAGCCGAGTTAGGGAGCTCACTCTAAATGGATGGCCAAGTCATGCAAGGGAGGAGACACTCAACCCATTCTCTATCAGAAGAACTGAACTATCAGTGGAACAAGGATGTGTCCTCTGGGGAATGAGAGTTGTAGTCCCCTCAGCTCTCAGACCAAAGCTGCTGCATGATCTTCACCAGGGTCATCCTGGTATGTGTCGCATGAAAGCCTTAGCAAGGAGCTACATGTGGTGGCCCGGCCTGGATAAAGACATTGAAAAAACTGTGAAAGAGTGCAATGCATGTCAGACAGTGAGACAACTACCAGCAGCGGCTCCACTGCATTGTTGGAAATGGCCAACGCGAGTGTGGCAACGGATACACATAGATTTTTGTGAGAAAGATAAACAGTATTTTTTAGTCCTTGTTGACAGTCATTCAAAATGGTTGGAGGTGGTTCCCATGACAACCACAACATCAGCTAAAACTATTGAAGTTCTGCGCAACATTTTTGCATCTTATGGACTGCCTGAGGAAGTTGTTTCAGACAACGGGCCTCAATTCACATCAAGTGAATTTAAGCAGTTTCTGAGAGGAAATGGCATCAAACAAACCTTGGTCCCAGCGTATCATCCC